AACAATTTGAAGGTTTATTACTTAAGTATAGTGTCACCCATAAGATTGCTACTCCATATCACTCAAAAACTAGCAGAGAAGTAGAAGTTCTAATAAAGAACCGAAGAGAATTTTAAAAAAGGATGTCCATATGTCTAGGAAGGATTGGTCGATTAGGTTAGATGATGCACTTTGGACTTATAGGATGACATTCAAGACTCCTATTGGAATGTCACCATATCATTTGGTTTTCGGTAAGGCTTGTCATTTACTTTGAACACAAAGCATATTGGGCTATAAAAGTGTTAAACTTTGACTTACAAACTATAGGAAAAGAAAGGCTTCTTCAATTGAATGATTTAGAAAAATGGTGACATCGAGCTTATGAGAACTCCAAGATTTATATAGAAAAAACTAAATCCTGGCATGATGCTCACATCAATCCTAAGGAGTTTCGAGTCGGTGAAAAGGTCCTCCTTTTCAATTCAAGATTGAGGTTGTTTCCTAGGAAGTTGAAGTCAAGTCGAGTGGTCCTTACATGGTTGAGAAACTATTTCCTTATAGAGTTGTAGAGATTTCTAAAGGGAATAAGAGAGTTTTCAAAGTCAATAGGCATAAACTCAAACTTTATACGAAAAATTTCAACTTCTCTCGTTGGGATAGAAGATCCGCTTTTATGGGATCCTTGAATAACGAAAAGTCAAGTGAACGATGCTAAACAACAACGCTTTTTAGGAGGCAATCAACAAGTGGCTATTCAACCACCGGTAGATTTGTTGTCTTACCCTTTTGCTCTTAATTTTATACATCATTGAATTGCTAATTTTATGTCCTACATTAAGGACAACTTAAAGTTAAAGTGTGAGGAAGTACATAGGATTTGTATTTCATTTATTTTTCTTTAAAAAATAAAAAAATATGAAAATTTTGTGTGAATGCTATAAGTAATATGATATCTTTCTTACTTGATAATTAATTCAGAATTTAACAAGATTTTATGAAAAAGTTAGATTGTTTTTTAATGTTATGATTATGGAAGTACATGCATGCTAGAGAAAATTATGTATTTATGATTAAGCATGATTATTTGAAGTAATGTTTATTTCGAAAGTATCCTTTGAAACTAGGTCTAAGCATGATTTGACTAAACGAAATTTTGCTAGTTATTTATTTAATATGAAGAAAGAAAAAAAAACATTCTAAGTTGAAATTTTAGCCTTATTGATTGAATTGTAAATTTATTCCAATATTTTAAGTTACTTAATAACTATGAATATTCATCACCAATGCTTACTTTTACATCAAACGGCAACTTGAATTACAAATATATAAAGCATTCTAAGTTTATTGCTTATTGAATAACCGAGTGCTTTCATCACAAATGTTAATATTCGCATATAAAGGCGAGTAATTACTTAGAGAAAAGTTTTTATAGGCCTTAAAGAAGAATTGGAATGCTGGAAAAAGAAAAAGGTTAAAAGAAAGTCTCGATTTACAATTTTTGCTCATAGCGAGTGAAAGAGGGTAATGACAAAATAAATGATGCATGCTTAAATTATGTTGATTATAAATATGCATAAATTAATTTAGAGACATACATAGATATGAGAGTAATATTTCAAACATGATTGACTAGATTATTTGAATTTGTTAGGTTATAAATTAAGATTCAATGTTTCGATGATATTTGTACTTGTATGACATTCACCTAAAATTTTATGAGAATATATTCGAAAACCTTCACAAGACATAACTCGTCCACTATGAATGACCTAAGAGTTTACACGCTTGTTGCATGTGCTAAATACAATTGTGATTCCTAAAAAAATGAGTTAGGATAAACTTTTTTTTTTTTTTTTTTTTTGCTTGAGGACAAACACAATCTCAAGTGTGGAGGAATTTGATTAGAAATTATATGCATATTTTATATAACTTTAGAGCTCAAATTTATTAATTATATGTGTAATCTATGTTTTCTTTGTTATAAATTAATTCTATATGCTTTGAATTTGTACGTACAAGGAATCAAGATAAGACTAAAGAAATAAGGCAAAACAAGGACTTAAAAGAAAATAAAAACCAGAAACAAAGATTAAAGCGGAACACAAGTATAGGTGCTGACTTGGACATGTTAAACAACCATGATTTTCCTAATTTGAAGGGGACTCTAGGGTTTGTTTAGAATAGGGACTCTTGGAGGTTGATTGAGTTTTTTTTTTTTTTTTTTAAGTAATAGGCTATAAAAAGGAAGAGACTTTAGACAGCAGAAAAGTGCTAAAAAAAATTGGAGAACAATTTGAACAGTAGAAAATTAAAAAAAGAAAGATAATTTGGACGATAGAAGTAGAGAAAAGGAAATAAAAGGAGGCGAGAGCAAACCATTTTTCCAATACATGTAATTGAGTTTGTTTCTTAATTCTTTCAATTTGTATTATGATGTATTAACAAGTAGAAAAATTCTTTATTTTAGATTCAAAAAACTCGTTATGCGAAACTAAACTCTTAAGTTGGAGACATATGAGTTTAATTCTTTATCTAAGTGATTAATTATTTCTCTCAACTCAAATTTTAATTCTTAATGCATGATGAATTTATATTGTTTGTGTTTAATGCTATAAGAGATTGATCACCTCTTATTGATTCAATGACATGTGCTTGCACTCGAGAGGAAAATATGTGTTAAATCATAGCAATATAAATTACTTGTTTATTATTAAGTTGAAAGGCAATTAGTTCTAATGTTATAATGGAAGAAAGAAGTGTGTGATGGCATACTCATCCGACAATAGAGGACTCTATTTATTCTAATACACTCGGATCTTAATTTAAGTCATATAGAAATATGGATGATATGTTAGGTGAAGAGTAGGGTTAATTTGACTAGAGATACCTCATTAACTTGTTAAGAAAATTCCGTCGTCACATATATTACGATAAACCCGCAAGTTGATTTGTGAGTTAAGTTAAATTAGTTAATTGCACAAATTAGAATTAAATGAATCTATGCGTATCTAATTTCATATCATCTTGATAGTAAATTTCAATTCTGCAAATTGAGAATTGATTTTTAATTTAGTTTTCGTACTCTTTATTGTTTCAATTAATTCAACTTATTCTAAGTTAGACAATCTTAATAGCGTAATTTAATTTCTCACAAGAACAATACTTTCTTGCCCTTTATTGCACGATTTAATTAGGTTTATTACTTATTTGAGTGTGCTAATAATCCATAACAATATTCTCAAAATATATTAATAAAAATTTATATTCCTACTTTTTAATCAAATTAAGAATTTTGTAAAATAAAAATAAATAAATTATAATAGACTCATTTGATGTATTATAAAATTATAAATATCATTCAAAAATTTAAAATTTTAATTATTTTATTTTATACTCAAAATTTGTTTACTATAATATAAATAAATTTAAACTCATGAGGATATTTTGGATAAAAAATATTTTTATCTTCAATTTTTTTAATAGTTTTTAAAGAGGATAGCTGAATATAGTTAATTTTTTTTTTTTTTAAAATAAACTCTTTTGAGGTATTACAAAATTATAAATATCAATCAAAAATTTAAAATTTTAACTAAAATTCTCTTGTCAAGATTCCAACATTAATTAATATAAGCACAAAATAAACCATGTCGATACAACTGTTTTAATTAGATAACAAATATTCATAACTGAAACATTAATTGTTGTCGATGATAAACAAGAATTCCAGGCTAAAACTACATAATAATCAAATACCTACAACAAAGCATGAGTATCCAACTAGTTTAGTCTAATTCTAATTTAATTTAGAGATTTTTCCATAGCATGATTATGTTACAATCTTACTTAAATTCGTACGCATAGTATGACATGTGTTGATTAAATAAGATAGCCTTCATTAACGACGTCTCGAACAAAAAAAACCATCACTAATCCTAAGTTGCTTGCTCTCATGCCTTCATCCAGTCTTGTTCTTAGTAACAATTTCAATTAACATATTCATGTCTTTCTTTGGCAAACATATATAAGTATGATTGCAAGTGAAATTGTTTAAATAGAAATTTAGCCAAAATATGGTTGTTTATATGATTGTTACTCCAAATAAAAATTTAGTCTAATTCTAATTTAATTTAGATATTTTTCTAAAGTAATATGATTATAATACAATCCTAATTAAATTTATACACGTAGTATGACACATATCAATTAATAAGATAGTCTTCATTAACATACTTGTGCTTAGCTTTATATATATAGAGATATAGTCAAACTAATTTTGTGTTTATTTGGAGGCAAATGAAAGGAGGGATGAGAAACTTAAAAGATGCTCCTCGTCCATTCAGTGCTTTCAATATTTTTTCTAAGATAAACTTTGGCCTCACCCCCAAATTTAATTAATTATAACTTAGTTCCTATAATTCATCAAAACAAATTAATTAATCCATATCAAAATATTTAAATAATCCTTAACTAATGTTGACTATGCTTAATTTAGTATAGTATTTTTCTTCCAAAAAAGCCTTATTTTCTCATTGATACTTCCATCTTATCTACTTTTTTTTCATTTTTCTATTTCTTAAAACAAACAAAGCAAGATAAAATTGAAAATGAACATAAAATGGACCGCTATAAATGGATTTTTAAAAAATAAGAATCGAATATATAGTTTTTGCAACTATGAAGACTAGTTAATTAGTTTTTCTAAACTGCAAGGACTACGTTACAATTGACTCCCCAAATCATATGCAAAAATGGTAATGGCATTTGTATATGCTTGCTCTAGAATTACACTCGTTTTAACTTTTAAGTTCAACATTAAAACTTCATTGAGCATAAATAAGTACAAAAATGATCCCGTGTGAGTACAAAACCTTTTGTAACAATTTTACCATTCCATATCTCATTCCGGAGGAGATAAAAATTTGAACCCAAAGAGCCATGCAAGTAAACATTCATTGGGCAATAGCTCAATAGAATGATCAGTTACTCAGGGGAAGTTACAGTTTATGGACAAGCATACCTCAGGTGCCAAGGTTGGGAGCATGAGTTGACACTGGTGGACCATGCGAATATCTCCACTGACCACATGCTGAGCATTTGTCCAACTTCAGACTGTTCTCCAGAGTACAGAATTTGCAGGACCAGATTTTGTACTTGGTGCTGGCATCTTTGGGCTTTTGTGTGCCACAAAGCTCACATATTGGGGCTAATGGCTGCAGTAATTCAACACATAACAGGCAAAAAGCTCAAGTCAATTCAACAATATTGAAAAGAAAGGAGAAATATTTTGGCTGCTACTCGCAAAACATTAATGATGCAATGAAACTGAAGGCTGGTTTAAAGTGAACTTGCCATCCCCACCTGCCTATAAAGTGAACCTGGTATAAAACGCTCAGGTCAATTCAGCAATATTGAAAAGAAAGAAGATAAACATGTATATATATATATATATATATATATATCAACTTGTGTAAATGTCACTGCCTTAAACAGGTGGAGATGGGAGGGGAATTATGAATGCTGTTCCCATAGAAAGTAAAAGTGAAATGTCAGGCAGTTGATTGTCTTCTCTTCCTCTATACATATTAACTCACTAATCTCTGAGGGCTTTAGGACTGAAAGACAAGGACTAAAGTTACCAGTTAAAACAGCGGCACAGCCACTATTACGATCTTTATTTTGTGCACCCTAGTAGTATACCAATTCCAACAATGGCATACAAACTGTACAACCTTTTAACATGGGACAATTAAGCATCCTTTCATGGTGAACACACAATAATCAAGCACATTATATATAATTCCGTCTTGTATAACACATATTTGGTTCAGTTGACTCTGCTGACCAAATAGAACATTGTTTTCTTTAAAACATGCCAGTTATTTCTGCTAAATCAGCTGGAAAATGAACAATACTAATTCTACTGAACAAATCAAGGTATCAGAATAACAAAGTATATATTTACAAGACCCTCCAAAATTTATTGCACCATTTTCCTTGCTTCAAGTCATCTTTGTTCCCTACTCTGTTGAAGCTATAACAAACTAATGGGACTTGGAAACCAGCTCTCTTGTATCGACAATAAAATCTCCAGTTGTTGCATTTAGTATAATGCCACTACTCATTCAAAGTATATCTACTATATTTAATTGCATATTTATAATAAGCAAAAGACAGGAAAATTTAACTTATAAGCAGACAAACATGAACCATCTTGAATAATGAAATAATCAACCATTTATATGAAAGGAACAAAAGAAATACTTAGAAAATTATCTGCAGGCACAAGAGTTACGATCGTCCACAACACTAACACAATCTCCAATTATTGCATTTAATATAAAACAGGCGATCATTTTAAAACATGCTCCTATATTTAATGGGGGATTAGTAAGTCAAAGACATGAAAATTTAACTTGTAAGCTGAAAAAATAAAAATTGTAAACCAGCTTGAGCAATTAAACAAATCAAGATTTTACAGACCCAAAAGTACTATGTACATTATCCGCAGTTACAAGAGATAAGATTTTCATCTCTAATCTACATTAACAAAATCTCCAATTATTGCATTTAGTATAAAGTGGGTATCATTTCAAAGTATGCTCCTTTATTTAAGAGAATTTATAAACAAAAGATTGGAAAATTTAAATTATAAGCTAAAAATGTAAACCATCTAAAACAATTAAGCAAATCCAGATTTTATAAACCAAAATTCTCTGCACAGCATCTGCATCCATGGGAGATGTAGTCCCAAGTACGGACTTAAGATTATGAAACAGATCATGTAACTCTAAAATCTACCATTGAACATACTAAGCATACATTCCAATGAAGCATAGCCACAAACCAAAGTTGCATTAATGCAATGATGCTGATCACTTACCGGATTCAGTAATGTGCACATCCCACACTCCCATAACGAAGGTGCCTCTGGATTATGTGCTGTATCATGATTACATATGGAACCAAAGGATGAATTACCGGCTAAAGGAGGTTCCTCTAGATTATGTATTGTATTGCAATTAGGTTTGGATCCAAAAGATGGATAACCAGTTAAATCAATGAAACTACCTTCTATGTGAGAAGCAGTATCAGGAGATGGATCCCTAAAGGAAATGCAAATTTTTTTTCTACAGTTGGTATCACGCATCGACCCAGATGTTGAAGCATCTTTGGATAAATCCAAGAATTTGAAGTCTGAATGACCATTGGAAGATAAAAAAGCTGTTCTGTCATTTGATTCACAACCTCTTTTTCTACAATCACGTAACCTTGAGCTTTCTGTAAATTCCCCCATTGATACAAGGTCTTCTGCGATATCAGAGCTAGTTTCTCCATTACCAGAAGCCTCAGCAGCCTCAGCCAACAGAGAACCACACCATATCTCATCCTGCAACCTCCTTTCTGCAGCCATTGCTGCAGCTTGTATTGGACTGAGTGCAACCATAATGGCGCTATCACCACCAAGCCTTTTAGGCTGAGATGGCAGTATAGACCCCAATTTTGCCCTCTTTTCCGCAGCAGCTAAGGCAGTTTTGCGAAGAGATGACAGAGCAGGTTGGCGGGAAAACCCACCCAAACGCTTCCCCTGAAGATCAAACCCCTCTCCTGTACCAGTTATTCCCTTGGAAATCAGCTCTTCGCATTCCTGTTAAAAACAACAAAAGTAAGTGAGGTAAGTCAAAAAACCATATTTCTCTACTTAAAACCTATCGCTGGATTGGTTACAAAAAACAAGCAAAGATTATTTGTGACTAAAAACGCATGAGATATGATTGAAATTCAATGTGACAGGCTACAACTTCACAAGAATACCCTATAATGGAATCAACAATATAAACATTTGATTAAAGTAAAAGGCCAAAGAAACAAATATAAGACCTTTCTGAGTTCATCCCAGAGCTTGTAAAAGTTGGCGTTGTGGGGACCATGAACATTATGGCAAAGCTCATGAAGCATCGTATCAAGAACCTGATCGAATGGAAAGAAATCCCAATCCCTGTTTGGTCTACGAAGCCTCAACTTCACATGCACCCCACCTCCTACATTTAATCCCAGAAGAGACCTGTTGTTCGGACTAAAGTCCCATTCAAACATATAGTTTCGCTCGTCAGTCAAATTGACGTAAAAACTTCATAGAATTAATAATAATAATAAGACTCTGTAAATAACCATAATTTTCCAATTTCACAGTGCTGTTTAGTTAGAACTATTAAATAATAAAAAGCAACAAGATATTTGTTCATTTCCACCATTAACCGACCTGACATTTTAATTTCCACATCCTACGGGACAGTAATTTTCATTTCCTTGCTGAAGTGGTGAAGACAGTAACCAAACAGAGAATCAAAAAACGCTGTTTTTAATATTTTTGTATTATCTCAGCAACAGATTAAGCATAAGAATCACAAAATGGTACTTTATTATCCTTTCGTTTGGGCAATTAATTTCTCAGCAGCCAAACAGAGACTATAATAAATATCTATGAAAGAAAAAAAATAGAAATACCAGAATTCAGAAAGAAGCTTGACACGCCATTTGTGTCTACGCATGATGGGCTGCACCTGTTTGGCTATTTTATCTAACATGGTTTTGGCTTCCTCCTCTCCAGGTTTTTTTAGGGCTTTGGTTTCCCATACTTTGTTTAAATCTCCCAAATTCATCTCTCTTTCTTAAAAAATCTAAAATTCAAAACTCTTTTTACTTAAAATAAAGCCTAATATTTGAGAAAAATATGGTTGCTGCATTTGCTTAGGATTTGAGAGAATATGGATGGATGGTTGGGTTTGTAATTTTATTTAAATAATAAAGCCAAAAGGCACCAAAGCTCTTCTTTCCCAAATTCTGCCATGCCGCTCGGCTTTAATTGCAGCTGTTATTCAAATAGCGACACGTGGTCTTTGGTTTAAAGTGAGCACGTCAAGTCAAATTAGTAAAATTGGTTGCCCTTTAAGGTAGACAGACGTGAAGTGAGAAAAATAAGAAAGAAAAAATAAATAAATAAATTGAGTTTAAAAGGAAATCTTCTTATAATTTTTTACTATTCTTAAAAAATATATATATATATATAACTAAATAAATAAGTATTCTGACTTTTTAGTTATTGTATATTTAGATTTAATCGCACTATGGATATACTGTGTATGACATTCTTTCTCTTTCGATCGCATATTCTTCTTGGCCTCGTTCTCTTCTTTTGATTTACAGCCGCTCTTTTCTCCTTCTTCTTCTCTATTGCACTCTTTTGTTTTTCTAATTATACTACTGCCATTGTTCCTTTTACTCTTTCTTTCTACCTCCTTAACCCTCTCGTTCTTATCTTCTCTTCTTCTCCAATCAACATTGTCTTCTTTGTTTGCGATTTTTGTTATTCATGTGTTGATACTCTTTTTAGGTTTGCAATCCCGCTAGTCAACCTACCTATTCAAATCACCATATTACTAGCCTCCACCATACTTTACACTCTCTCACTCCGCTATCAATTCACCCCACATCATACCTATAAAAAAATTTCACATCATAATCGATGGAGAACCAACAATTTGACAAGATATAAAAATAGCAACAAATAAGGAAGAGGAGGTCGGTTCTTAAAAAAATTAAAGAAAAAAGAAACAACAACCGAAAAAAAAAATGAAAAAAAATACAAAGGGAAGAAAAGGATTTACCTATTTAATTGTAGTAGTAGTACCTTTCACCATCATCCTCAATTCGAATTCCTCTAGGTAAACTAATCATATCAATGTAATTTTTCTTTGTATTTAGGGTTTCAAGCGAGTTTTGGGTTTCAAAATTTAGGAATTTTTGAGTTTGGATTGAAATTAAGTTTGAATAATTGAAAGAAAGGCTAATTAAATGTATTTGGTTTGTCAATTTAGGGATTAAACCTCAAATTTAAGTTGAATTGAACTAGATTGAAGTTTAAGGTTTTTGGGTTTTTTTTAACAATAACATAATTTAGGGATTTTTAAGAAATTAAGTTCTAAAAGACTTGAATTGGCTTGATCCGCTTGATCTCGTGAGAAGTCAAGGCAATTAAGGCTCATTGAAGAAAAAAATGGAAACCCAAGGTTCAATCAATTTTGAAAAATTTTGGTTAAAGTATTGAATGGGTTTTTTTTTTATTATAATGGAGAATCAATAGAAGGAGTGAATAGGTTGAAGAAGGATTAAAGGAGAGAGAGTGTACCGCAGATGAACTCGGTTCGTTCTTCCATGGAGATCGAGCGAGAAAGAGGGAAGAAGAAGACAAGATGAGGCGAAGGAAGAAAGAGAAGACGAGAAGAAGATAGCGAGAAAGTGAGGGAGAGAGAGATCGAACTAGAGATGAAGTCTTTGAGTCATTTCTTATAAAGAACTTGATAGAAAGAGGAAAAAGAAGAAGAAGAAGAAGAGAGAGAGATTGGGTAGAGGGAAAGTAAAGAAAAAAAGAAAGCGAGTCCGATCCACAAAAAAATGAGGTTTAGTTGGTGTTTGTGGCCTCGGGTCTAGCTAAAATTGAAATGGGATGGGCTTAGCCCAACCTATGTATGGCTAGACTAGGCTAATCTCAGCCTGATCCAATCCGAAAAAAGGAAGAAGAAAAAAAGAGGATGAAAAAAATGGGTTGGAAAGTGCTACCTATTTATATGTTTTTATGCTAAAAACAAATATGTCTATGGGTTTTAGTCAATAATTAAAAATTTTGGACTTATGAATCAATCTATTTATTTTTTTTAGTGTATAATTAAAACTTTTCGTCCATTTTAAAACTCAACTTACATATGTTTCTTGGTCAATAATTAAAATTTTTACACCATGTTAAATTTTGACATGCAATAATATTCATAAATTTTATAATACCAAATAAAAATAACAATAAAAAAAAACTATAGCCAATAAAAAAATTACCGTAATGAAACACGAACAAACTATTATATTATGTTAAAATTTTCTTAGAGTGAAGCCTAGGCACCCACACTAGTGTATATATCTATATATATATATTCATCTAATCAAAACCAACATATAATTCCTTCATTCATTGGTCGTTTATTTTTATTTTTATTTTTATCGAACCAACTAACCTTTCCTCAACTTCAATTGAGTTATTTGAAAATGGGTTTCAATCTCTAATTATAGATTTTACATCAATCCAATTATTTTCATTTGAAATTAAATTTAGGCTTTTATTAATTTTAATGTATAAGTATAATTTTTTATAGATACATGTACATGTATAGTACAACCTTTCCTTAACTTCAATCGAGTTATTTAAAAATGGGTTTCAATCTTTAATTATAGATTGTACATCCATCCAATTATTTTCATTTGAAATTAAGTTTAGGGTTTTATTAATTTTAATGTATAAGTATAATTTTTTATAGACACATGCACATGTACAAGTACAACCTTTCCTCAACTTCAATCGAGTTATTTAAAAATGGGTTTCAATATCTAATTATAGATTGCACATCTATTCAATTATTTTCATTTGATATTAAATTTAGGTTTTTATTAATTTTAATGTATAAGTACAATTCTTTATAGACACACATATATGTATAGTATAATAGTTAATCCAAGGCTTACTTTTTTGGAGGAAGATAGACACATAAAAAAATCACATTCGGATCCACCAAAGTGATAAGAAGATTTCTATCTTTACTCAATTTTTTTATTCTCTCTTCTACTTCTCTCTCTTTTTTATATTTATATTATAGAGTAACTTACACTAATTACTCTTTGAATATCATAAAATTTTTCAAAAGAAACGAAACAGAGGCAACGAACATGTCGAAATAAAAGGCGAGCAAGAGGCATAAACAAGAAATAATGCAATCCAAAAAGGAATTTCAAAACAAAAGGCTTGCACCATAGTTAAGAGAGAATTGCATACATGAATTATAAAATAAGTGGCGTACTTGGACAAATAATATACCCTTGAAAAGGCATTAATTGCTAATGAAAGGACAAAACATAAAAAAAAATGGTTGAAGAAACACTTATCTAGTCTTGTTGCAACCAAACAAACCGAAAGATAAGGCGAAGAAAGGGCAAGTAAATGGAAAACCTAGTCGGAGCCGTAATGATTTGACGAAGGAGAAGCAAAACTAATGAGACCCAATTGATATCGTGTCTTCCCAACTAGGTTATTAGTATTTTAAAATTCAAGGTCATAAGTCCATCAAATGAGGTGTCTTCTTATGAAAAAACAAGTAAGGCATGAGTGAACCGGTGCTTTTTAGCCTTATAAGTAACCCAAGTTTCAACGAAACCTTAGAACTTTAATGAAACAATACGTTTGGTCTTATCACCAACCAAGTTTAAACCTTAAATTTAAATTAAAGGCGAGCTTGTCAATCAAAAGCTATTTAAGAGGGAAGAACCAATAGAATCGCACACAATCAATAACATAAGACTTTTTAGATACGTTTATTCGATTCCTTTAGTTTACCCCGTAACGGTTAGATCATATTTTCTTACAAATAGTGTATTAATCTTTTATTGTTTTTCAGTAATTTTATCTTCATAACTTAGAAAGCGTTGATATGTCGAATGGCATTGAACATCTCGATAGCTAATATGTAAGTGTCATATCTTTTGATTTATGATATTTACACTTTTAATGAATTTTGTCTCTTTTGATTGATAAAATTCGTTTATTTTATTATTCGCTTTTTAAATTAAGTACCCATAGAAAGTCCTAATGGCTTGCTAGGCGAAACTAAAATAATTTCATCACGAAGGACTTAATCTAAATTAAAGCATCGACTCACTCTACTTTAAGATTAAATTCGATAAGCGACAATAAGTTTTGATGACCACTATAAGAAAAGAAATGTCAAAACATGGTACTACTAAAAGTATGACAAGACGTTAACTCCTCGAAGGGGCCAAATCGACAAAAAATTTCCTATTTCTATTGAAGAAATGGTCTAAATCTTTGAAAATGAACCTATGATGGAAACCATAAAAAACCGCAATCGTGGAGAAACCAAGGTTAATATCATCTTAGAGCCTAAAAATGTAATTGATAAAGAACAACTCGATAATCAAAATAGATTGGGTGTTAAACATTAATAACATGTAGGTTCGGATAGAAGTGATGGTTCTACGAACTAAAACCATGATGTTAGGAAATATGTGCCCGAAGAACGAATGGTTAAATTTTGATAAATGTCGGCTAATCGGATTAAAGATTTGCCGAAAAGGATATATAATTCATCTTTAAATATAGTCAATCAAATAAATTGACACATACAAGCTAATGTCGAACCGATTTGAAGAGGATATTAATAGGATAAAGACTTTTATAATCGAATCATAAAAAGAAAAACAATGAGAACATTGCTAACCATACTACCAAATTAATGGATTATATGCGTTATCACAGTGATAGAGTGATTAGAAACATAAATCAAATGTTTAATGAAATTCTTGTTCTATTAGCTAGACAAGTGGCCAAGGAAGTAGAGATTGTTATCGAACTAAGATTCGAGACAACTACAAAAGTCACTCGAACGATGAAAGAAGATTGACAACTTGTAATTTTAGTAGAAGGAAAGGGGAAAAAACCAAGTAAATAAAGAAATTTTGATATTAATAG